GGGGGGTTGGAAAATGTCAACATATCGCCCAAAGCTACAGCACTATCACTGTTGGGATGAGGGAGAGACATTTATTGTCTTGTTTTTTCTGTAGTTTGACTTCCTGACAGCAAGGAGACATACTGTATGGGAATAGAGGGAACGCACGAGAGCTCAATCGTGATCTGGAAAACATTATTTTCTTTTGGTGATTTGGGTAACCCAACCTTTAAAGTTGCTATTCTGTGACCAATAATATTAGAATTGTGAATTCTACTGCTTTTACTGCATCCAGTAAATAATACAGAAACATCAGAAGCTCCTCTGAAGCATGTGGAACTCAGCCAACAGTAACAAAAACCTCAAATGATGCCGTCCTCCTGGGGCCAACTAGTCGCAAATATGTTCCCACGTTGTCTATATTTGATTCATGTCCTGCTTAAAAAGTACCCGAAAGACTTCAAAGCAGATGGAATCAAGCAGAAATGAAGCCAATGTGCTCTTGTTTTGGCCATGACCGTGAGCCAATGGGTAATTATTGAAAAATGCCACAACATAATGGTGAGACTCTGTCCGAAAGGATCATCTGTGCGGTCAGCAGCGTCTTGAGATTTCACACCAGACAAGGCAGACAGAATCCATCAAAGACAGAGAAGCAATCACTGTCCTCTTCGAGTTTTAATCACGGCGGACGATTACAGAGGAGAGCTGTGGACCAAATTACCACCACACAGACTACAAAGCCCCAGCCTTCAGAGAATCGCCTCATCTCCCTCATTCTATTGTCACTCTCCCTCTCTGTCTTTATTCTCCCTCTGTGTTTTCTCTATCTCTCTCTCTCTCCATCTCTTTATTGTCCTCTGCCGTCTCCCTCCAGAGTAGAATAATGCATGCTGCTGTTTTTTCCTGCATCCGACAAAGAAAATCTTGGCGCAAAGACTTGTGTAATCCCTCCAAAGCAAATAGGAATAAAGCTTGCAGTCGCATCTCGCTCTCAGAGGACTGAACCATAACTCTGCAGTGTGATGTGTTGACACAAGTTTATTTTATGGAGGAAAATCCAGCCAGTAACACTGTCAGCACTGTTTTAAAAGAAGAATTACTAGTGATGCAGCTTTCCTTCTGCATCCATTCTTTTTTCATTGATTGATGAATGTAAAGAAATAGACACCATCACAGTGTGTATCCAGTATGTAGAAATGAATATGATTGTTTTATATCAGTTCCAGTTACCAGTTCTTAAACATTTGATACTGAATAATCCTACCTACCTGGTGGAACAGTTGCGTAGCTCACCAAACCAACTAACGAAGCTTGTTTGCTAATTTAGATATGACTCGCTTAGTTTAGACTTAACATTATGTAAAATGGAGTATATAGTCAATATTTCTTATCTGACATGATTTAGAAATGATGTACACCTGGAAGAGTTTAATTAACATTTAAAAAATGTTTATCACTTAAGTTTTAATTGTGCAACACAATTTAGTAAATCATCAGTTTAAAAAGCTAACTTACAATTCTTGACCAGACGGGTATCGTTTCAAATGTTTCTACTCGAGTGCCAAAACCGTACTTTTGACACCATGTATGTTTTAATGCACCACCCTTTATTCTTTCAATGAACACAGCAAGTATTCAGTTACGTACTAATGTTGTTACGTACTAATATTGTTATGTACTAAGATTAGTCACGTGCTAAAGTTAGTTACGCACTAAAGTTAGTTACGTACTAATGTTAGTTACGTACTATCATAGATACTTACATCATCGTTCGTACTTACATCGTTACGTACTAATGTTAGTTCGTGGTAAAGTTAGTTACATACCAATGTTAGTTACGCACTAATGTTAGTTACGTACTAATGTTAGTTACGTGCTAATGTTAGTTACTTACTATCATAGATACGTACTATCATCATTCGTACTATCATCGTTCGTACTTACATCCTTACGTACTAACGTTAGTTACGTACTAATGTTAGTTACGTGCTAATGTTAGTTACGTACTATCATAGATACGTACTTACATAGTTCTTACGTCGTTTTTTTTCAATCAGTACGGCATTCTTCACCACAAAGTAACTGCTGGGATTTTATTGAACATCTCAGATTTATATGACATACCAGCTCAAAATATCTGCCAGCAGGATTTTGCTGTGGGGAGAGAACAGAGCAGAGTGGACAGCCAGCTGTGATCTCTATTCCGTTCACAGCTCTTCATTACACACTGCAGCACCACGCAGGAAGGTTCACCATCTGGCTACTTATCTCCCTTTCATTCTCTCCACATCTATTTGTTTCCCTCCACCTTGTTGTCTCTGCCTCTTGTTTAAGAGAAAGATCGAGAATAAATGAGAAAGAGAGGGAGAAATAACAAAGCGAGAAGGAAAGAGAGGAAGAGAATAAGGAGGCAATGAGAGAGAGAACGAAGAAGAGAGGGCAGATAGAAGAAAGACAATTGGAAAAAAAATAAGTCAGAAGAAAAGATAAGAGAAAGAAATAGATCCCGAAAAAGAAACAGAAGAAACATTGTCTCTATCTTTTTTCTAATTCCCTCGCCCTCCCTCGCTCCCTAATGAAGTTATCTTTCTCCCTCCGTCACGATTCTCTCCAGTCAGGGTTTCCTTCAGATAAACAAGACTTGGCAGCAAGAAAACCTGAAAGTGAAAAAGAAAACTTCTGCAGAACCTGCTGGGAAAAGAGAAAGGCTATGTCTTCATTTCCTTTCTACCATGTGGAGTGCTTCATCCTCATGTGAAGGATAGTGTCATGTCTGCTCCGTAATGTCTTCATTGTCAGTTTTAAGTGTCAGGTAATTAGGGAGACAACATTAAATTGCAATGTCTTCCCCACCTGCAGCTTGACTGATTTTTTGTAATGCCGTTTCCAATACTTTGGGATTAAAGGTGCCAATAGCTGTTTCTGTGGTGGATAAGAAAAAGCTCCTGCTCACCTCTTCACCTGCGTGCACCCGGGTTCGATTCCCAGCCGTGGCCGCTCCGTGTTAGCAGCAGCAGCGTTAAGGGTGGGAAGCTGTTGAGGGATCATGTATGCCTCACTACTGATTGGTCGGGACATCAGTGTGATGATGTTGAATTGTTAAGACTACAAAAGATGAACCAGGTTCAACTTGTTTGACTGCATTGTTTTGCCATTCAAACTAATACAAAATTTTAATAAATTCATAAAAAAAAAAGATTCTTTAAGCTGTGGTGAGTGAATCCACCATCCACTCAAAGTAAAGCACACAGCTCGGACCACAACCCATGGCCACGAACAAAGCCACCCACACTACAGCACAGGGTGCCGTACTTTTCTCTCACATATTGGGGCAAATAAAAGCAATCTGATGCCTGAAGTATTTTGACATTTCATTTCCACCAGTCCGTGGGTCATTTGGTACTGGGCCGCACAGAAAGAATAAATAACTTGCATTATTTCCATTTCATTGATTATCAGAGTCTGAAAGATGTTTTATTTTGAAAAATGACCGGATTCTCTCCCAATTACATCCGCCTGTGCCTCTTGACACATGTCAAGACGCTTGTCTCGGTCACGTGATACGTTACCTCAAAAGTTAAGCCCACAAGCTAGACAAAATGAGTAAAAAACAAATGTCTTTGGAGAGCTTCTTTGCACAGATTCAGCGTTGTGGTGAGTTTTAATTTTTATGCATTTTATATTTGTTTTCATGCCGGTCGTATCATTTTATTTCGTCGTGTTTTTCCGCCACACCTTGAAGGCCGGTCCGTGAAAATATTGTCTGACATGAAACTGGTCCGTGGCGCAAAAAAGGTTGGGGACCTCTGATATAGTGGACAAGGACCACACTTCCCACATGCCTCGACACACTGATTTATGCCTTCAAATAAATCAAACCAAAGCTCCAAAATGTAAAAATATCAATAGATTCACCTAACACTGAACATCACATATACTGTACAGCAAAAAAACAACAAGAAGATGCCCACATTCCCATGAAAGGTCCAAAGGAAAAGAGGAAATAAAGCTGGCAGAAGTGCAAAACTTCATTCACATTTCCCTTTTGTAAACTATAAATTCTACAATACAACATATTTACTCCTATAGAAATACATGAACACAACTTAAGAAAGCGTAGGAGAAGTGGGAGGTATCCAGCCTGTTATCACTCCCGAAGTGTCAAACTATGAAGCTCTACGGGAGGGAAGCAGGAAGTCAGGTGACATCGTGTGCAGAGCGATGGCGTCAGCTTAGGGAGGAGGTCGGAGTGGATATATTGGATGGAACTCTTCTCCCAGGAGACAAAGAAAGAAAATAATCAATGGTGACTTATTTTAGTTACTTTTAGTTATTATTTTAATGTATGACATTGCATACGTAACGTAGCCTCCTTAACTATGTAAATATTTTTTTTTACTAATTTTAACCCAAAACAGAGTTGTTTCCTTTGAACACAAGTTTATTTTGAAAAGTCAGTGACCTTGATACCTGAGGGGCCAGTAGAGCCTCACAGTCGACGAGTTGGGGGCGAGAACTTGTTGATATGTCATACTGGAAGTTTAAAATGTACCTTTCAAAATAAAAGTTCCAATAAAATCCACGTACAAGTTTTGCAGGGATTTATAATACACTATTTTTAATTTGGTGCGACAACAAACACACTTCTACGCTAACAGTCTGGCTATGACCAGTAAGTAGACCTGGGGTCAGATTAACTGTAGCTGGTAGATGGCTGGTGTAACATTGTGACCCTAACTCCAATTCTCCTGTCCCCTCTCTGTCTGTTTGTCAGTGTTAGCTGTAACCTTTGTTTGTCCTTGCCAGGTGTTGGTGTGTGTGTGTGTGTGTGTGTGTGTGTGTGTGTGTGTGTGTGT